CACGTTTTACAGAACTATACCCAGTGACTACCATCAGTCCAAGGTTTTAGCTCAAATCATTAAGAAGTTTGGATGGACGTGGATTGGGACTATCAGAAGCAACAATGACTATGGTAACTTTGGAATGCAGGCATTTGTAGACATTGCGCAGGAACTTGGCATTTGCATTGCCTTCTCGGAATCATTTCACAGAGCTGAATCTCTTGAAAAGATAAAAAAAATTGTAAATATAATGAAATCATCTACAACTAAAGTGATCGTGGCATTTGCACCCCCGGCAGAAATGCAGATATTACTCAAAGAAATTATACGACAAAACGTCACTGGAATTCAGTGGATAGGAACTGAGGCCTGGATAACAGCACAGATTATTTCTCCCGATGAGAGCGCAAGATTTCTCACTGGGACAATTGGCCTTTCAATTCCTTTGTTTGAAGTAAAAGGATTGCGAGAATTTCTGCTTAAAATTCATCCTTCTGGGTTTCCCGGAAATAGTTTAGTGAAGGAGTTTTGGGAAACTGCGTTCCAATGTATTTTCTGGTCAGGAAACACAAGCCAAATAACTGCAGCATCTACATTGCAACAATGCACCGGCCAAGAAAAACTATCAGCTCTGCACAATGCATATTCTGAGGTATCTATGGATGGAAGCTCCTACAATGTGTATAAAGCAGTGTACGCTGTGGCTCATGCACTTCACAATATGATCTCGTGTGAGAAAGGAAAGGGACCATTTATAAACAACACCTGTGCACATGTATCCAATCTTCAACCATGGCAGGTAAGGAAATGTTTAATGTTTATTGCATTCAAATGTTTAGTCAAAGGAGAATAATTTGCATGTTTCACACAGCATTTAACTTGACCTTCGCCTATCAGAAGATATCACTCAGAAATATGCTTTGAAAAAAGGTCTTCAAAAGTTTGACATTATAACCAATAAACCATGTATTTTATATTTTTGCAAAGTTACTTCATTACCTACAGTCAGTGAATTTCACAACGACATCCGGCGACAGCGTTTATTTTGATGAAAATGGAGATCCAGTGGCCACGTACGACTTGTTAAACTGGGGAATCAATTCGAGAGGCGCTGCTGAAATTCGTGTTATTGGCTTCTACGATGGCTCTGCTTCTCCTGGTCATGAACTCACTTTGGATGAGGAGACTATTGAGTGGAGCAGTCGTCAAAAAATGGTATTTTTTTATTAGTTTGGATTAATTGTGGTATTAAAATGAAAATAATTTGAAAAATATAAAGAAAAGTTAGTAAGAATGGTGAAAGGCAGCCATTGTGTATATCAGAGGTTGAACCTTATAGTATACCTAATGTGTTTATTAAATTATTGTCCCCAATTTCCAAACCCTACACTAAACAATTAGGGTTTAAGTTTCAAATATAACAGCTGATTAAACCCAAGATTTGTCCAGAGGTTTCCGTTAAGCTTTGAACTTCCTGGGCATGAAAAGCAATGGGATTTTTCTCCAACTCATTACCGAGCTCCAGGACCAATTAATGAGGTGGACATGTGTTATCAGCTGCCTGCACAGCTGTCTCTCCCCACCTGTGAGACGACACTGACTGCGAAGCAGGACCGAGAGGCAGTGGAAGCTTCCTATCAGGCATCTCCTCCCGAGGGCCACTTATATGAGTGACCTTCATTAAGGAATGTAAGAAGATTTCCAGTTTGTGTCCTTTCAGCACCTGGAGGCAGCAAACCTTGTAATCAATAATGAACAGGTAGAGTTGGGAGGACAGCTGCTGGGATTCCGGGCTGGTGAGCACATGGTTACATATCAAGGGCATTGTACCAGCTTCACTAGTTTGTGGAGATATTAGTTGCTCCTGAAGATGGGCATCTCAAAATGGTGGAACTCCCATTGAATATGGAAGGTGTAAAGGCTGGAGGCTTTTGTAGGTTGTTTGTGATGCTCATCATGCATCACCTGAGATGTTTCTGGTACTCGATATCCACTTAGGAATGTGCTCACATCAGATGTTGAATGAAAAACTCCTGGCTTTACAGCATGGAAACAGGTAAATGGAGTATACTTGAGTTTGGAGATTGGAGTCACTTGGAGACACATTACTGGTACCTGCAGAACGAGCTAATTTTCCAAACATTTGTTTTAAATACCTCTATGTTTGGACGAGATTATTCAAAAAGAACATTTCTCTGCTAAGGTTCCACGTGCGGTTTGCAGCGAGAGCTGTATTCCTGGGACAAGAAAAGTTGCCAGAAAAGGCCAACCCGTGTGTTGCTTTGACTGTACAGAATGTGCTGAGGGAGAAATCAGCAACATCACAGGTGAGTGTAAAATTCCTCTTCCTATTTGACTCTTCTCTTTCAAAAACTCTCTTTAGTAATATTCATGCCATACTTACTGAATTATCGTACCTTTCCCAGATTCCACAGACTGCATTAAATGCCCTGAACAATATTGGCCCAATCAGCAGAGAGATCGTTGCCGACCAAAGGAAATAGAGTTCCTCTCCTTTACCGAAATGCTGGGAGGTGTATTGCTGACATTGGCTCTGGTGGGAGTGAGCACCACAATAAGTATTGCCATTGTCTTCTTCACACACAGAGACACTCCTATTGTTAAAGCCAACAATTCTGAGCTCAGCTATCTGCTTCTCTTTGCATTAACGCTGTGTTTTCTGTGCTCAGTGACTTTCATTGGCGAGCCCTCAGTCTGGGCTTGCATGTTGTGCCACACAGCATTCGCTATCGCTTTCGTTCTCTGTATTTCCTGTATTTTGATTAAAACAATCCTTGTGATTCTGGCGTTTAAGGCAACTCTTCCAAACAACAACATGGCCAAATTGTTCGGGCCTGCTCAGCAGCGTTGGAGTGTATTCCTCCTTACCTCTGTTCAGTGCCTGATATGTACTCTCTGGTTAACTATATCACACCCATTTCCCATGAGAAACACAGAATATTACAGAGAGATTATCATTCTGGAATGTGACCTGGGCTCTGTGAGCGCCTTTTATTCTATGGCGGGATATATTGCTTTCCTGGCCGGAGTGAGCTTTGTGCTGGCGTTTCTAGCTCGGAAATTACCTGATAACTTTAATGAGGCTCAATGTATAACCTTTAGCATGCTCATCTTTTGTGCTGTTTGGATCACTTTTATACCAGTTTACGTCAGCTCTCCTGGGAAATACACCATTGCTGTCGAAGTCTTTGCTATTTTAGCCTCGAGTTTTGGGTTATTGTTTTGTATTTTTGTTCCTAAATGTTACATTATTTTGATAAAACCTGAAATAAATACCAGAAGACACTTGATGGGCAAAGTACCTGTAAATGAATAAGCACTGCACACTGCAGGTATATGATCATGTGTAACAGAATGTAAACATATCATGTCTTCATTAAATGCAAAAAAAAATAACTGAGTTGAATATCACATATATTTAATATTTCATATGTATAATGGGATTATGCTTGTTAGCATTTTCACATAATCAATAATAGGATCCCTAATCCCTAAAAAAATGTGCTTTCCAACTAAAAGTAATGTATTTGAGTCCAGGGCTATTGCTGTGGAGTGCATAGAATGGGCAAAACTACAGTTGTCTATTGTATAAGTTTTGCTGTTTTGTTTGACTATTGTCGGACAAGGTCTATGGGAGTGATTTCAACACAGTCAACAACGACCTGCATTTATATAGGGCCCTTCATGTGGGTTAGTGTCCCAGAGCGCTTGACAGTGGCGGAGTCTCACAATGAGCGAGGGGGAGAGGGAGGGCAGAGGTGACCGTAAGCACCATCAAAAGGGGAGTTGTTTAGACCCATCGCCAGACTACGGCACTACCTCACCCCTCACGCGGCTGAAACTCTGGTCCACGCCTTTATCACCTCAAGGCTGGACTATGGGAACTCTCTCCTTGTCGGCCTTCCCGGCCCTCCCTCCACACTGCAGGTCATTCAGAACTCTGCAGCTCATGTACTGTCCCGCACCAGGCTCCGCGACCACATCACTCCCACCCTTGCCCTCACCCTCACTCCCACCCTCACCCTCGCCCTCGCTCGCCTCCACTGGCTCCCCATTCCCAGATGATCGAATTCAAGATCCTCATCCTCACCTACAAGGCCATTCACGGCCTTGCTCCCTCCTGCCTCTCCGACCTACTATCCCCCTACTTACCTGCCCGTACCCTCCATTCCTCTGGCTCCGGTCTACTCCACATCCCCTGCCCCAACCACCCTACCATCGGTGGCCGGGACTTCGGCCTCTCAGCCCCGAGGCTCTGGAACTCCATCACCCAGTGCCTTCACCGCTTCCTCCCTTTCCTCCTTCAAGGCTGGTCTCAAGACCTTTCTCTTTGACCGTGTCTTCATCTCCCCTCTCGACTCTCTACCCCTCCTCGCTGCCTCCCTTCCCTCCCCTCACTCTGACCATTTCCTCCCTGCTCGGGTCCCGACCCAACTGTCCAGCGCCTTGGGACGTCTTCCCGAAGTGAAAGGTTCTCTATCAATGAAATCTTGTTGTTGTTGTAGTAGGCGGGATTTGAAGGTTGGTGAGGGAGGGGGCAGGGATGGAAGGAGAAAGTTCCAGAATTTTGGGGAGCAGTGACTAAAAGCACGACCAGCAATGGTGCAACCGAGGACACAATGGACAAACAGGACCGTAGCCGGCCGAGTGGAGACAGCGGGTGGTGGAGTGGTGAGGGGCTGTGGCTAAGAAGGTTGGGTAGGTAGGGAGGTGTGAGGGCTTGAAGGGATTTGGAAATGAGTGAGAGGATCTTGAAATCGATCCGTTCGGTGATTGGGAGCCAGTGGAGCCTGGCAAGGACTGGGGTGATGGGGGGACAGAGTTTTGTGCAGGTGAATATCCGGGCAGCAGAGTTGTGACTTAATTGGATTTTGTGTATGGTGGAGCTGAGGGGGAGACCAGCAAAACGGCATTAGAATCGTCCAGCTGGGAATTGGTGAAGATGAGGATGAGCGTTTCTGCTGTGATGGTTGTTAGGTAATGGATGGAAGCGCGTAATGTGGCGGAACTGGAATAAAGTGATCCTGGTCAGCGATCGGATGTGTGGTAGAAAGCGAAGCTGGGGATCGGACCTGATGCCTACATTGCCCACACATTTGCAGTGTCTGAGGGAGGTTGAGGAGTTCGGACCCGCAGGTGAGAAGATGTTGATGGCAGTTAAAGTCTATGGCTTCCTTCTTGCTGACATTCAGCTGCAGAAAATTTGTGCTCCTCCAGGCCTTGATGGCCATCAAACAAACTGATAAGACATCAGTGGACTGGGAAACGCAGCTGGAGAAGAAGATTTCTGTGTCATCCGCAAACATGTGGAAGTTGACCCCACGTCTGCAAATGACATCTCCGAAAGGGAGCATGTAGATGAGGAAAGGAACGGAGCCAAGTGTGTAACCATGGGGCACCCTGCAGGTGATCGGGTGGGGGCGTGAGGGAAAACCATTGGCCAAGATGAAGTGCTCACAGTTGTTTAAGTAGGACTTGAACCATGCGAGTGCAGGTCCATGAAGGTGGATGGGCGAGGAGAGGCAGTGGAGGAGGATGGTGCGGTTGACTGTGTTGAACCCAATGGAGAGGTCCAGCAGGATGAGGAGGCTGAGAGGGCCGTGGTTACACAGAGAGAGGACATCATTTGTTACTTTGACAAGTGCTGTCTCTGTGCTGTGGGCTGGAAACTGAACTGGAGGGGTTCGAGTAGCGTTTGGATGTTGAGGTGAGAGCGAAGTTGGTTTGCAACAATGCGTTCCAGGGCTTTGGCCAGGAAAGGCAGGTTTGAAATGGGACGGGTAGTGCAGGACGCTGAAGGGATCGTGATATATCAGTGATGATTCGTTTGTAAACCTTATTGGCCATTAGCCACTTTGGAGGACTGGAACACTCTGATGCACTCAATTTTTTTTTGATTTATTTTTGACAAGATTCTTACTTTAATGATTTTGAGGAAAACATTAGCAGCAAAATGAAGGATGTGACAGCTGAGTCTGTTCGTTCTTATATTGAATTTCAATTTATAGTAATTGACAATCGCTTCTTTGGAACACAATCTGATTTTCTCTGACCTCCAGCAATGGTGCACATTGACTGTTGCAAGGCTAAAGTTCATCACCAATATTCGTAACGGTATTAAATGTTCAAGGTTACCAGTGGATGGTTGCTTGTCTCATGTAATTACCTTTCTCTGTGACTACCAGGTATATACAGATAAAGGATTGTTGATCAATTCGAAGACTTCACTTATTCTTGCTCTTAATGGTCCCTCTGAGCACAGTCATAACACAATTATTATACGAGTATAAGTCTTGCTGGACTGAAGGAGATTGATGGAGCTTGAGGTCCATCCAGTTCAGCTTCTGCACCCTGGCAGTCACAAGCACATGCCATGGCCCAAACTATACACTCTGTGTACATTTGAACAAGGTTTTTCCGTTTTGATTTGATCTTTTGTATGTGGAATTGAAGGTTTGCAACCATGATCAGTTTGTGCAACTGACCTAATAATACTAGTGACAGTAATTCATCCTTGCATTTGATATCTCCCCTTTCACTTCAGGAGTACCTTTCGTGTTGGGAGGACATCCCAAGGCACTGGACAGACAGAGTTTCGGACCTGAGCTGGGGGTTGGGGTCAGGGTGGTTTGACGGAAGTGGGGCAAGCAGGGAGATCGAAAGCACCATCAAAAAGAAAATAAGAACATAAGAATTAGGAGCTGCAGTAGGCCATTTGGCCCCTCGAGCCTGCCCTGCCATTTAATAAGATCGTGGCTGATCTATTCTAACTCCACCTACCCGCCTTATCCCCATATCCCTTAATCCCTTTATCTACAAGAAATCTATCAATCTCAGTCTTGAATATATTCAAGGACTGAGCATCTACAGCCCTATGGAGTAGGGAATTCCATAAATTCGCTACCGTCTGAGTGAAGAAGTTTTTCCTCAACTCAGTGTGAAATTTTAAGACTGTGACCCCTGGCTATAGTTTCTCCAACCAAGGGAAAACGTCTCACACTATCTATTCTGTCGTGCCCCTTAATAATCTTATAGGTTTCTATAAGATCACCTCTCATTCTTCTATATTTTAGAGAATATAGGCCTAAATTGCTCAACCTATCCTCATAACTCATCCTCCTCATCCCAGGTACCAACCTAGTGAATCTACGTTGTACCCCCTCCAAGGCGAATACATCCTTTCTTAAATAAGGAGACCAAAACTGCACACAATACTCTAGATGCGGCCTCACCAGGGCCCTATACAGTGCAGCAAGACTTCCCTACTCTTATATTCTAACCCNTTTTGTAACAAATGCCAACATACCGTTAGCTTTCCTAATTGCTTGCTGTATCTGCAAACTAACCTTTGTGACTGATGTACAAGAACACCCATGTCCCTCTGAATGCTAACACTATCTAGTTTCTCCCCTTCTAAAAATGATCTGCTCTACTGTTTTTGCTAACAAGGTGGATGACCTCACACTTCCCTACATTATACTTCACCTGCCACCTATTTGCCCACTCACCTAGTCTATCTATATCTCGTTGCATTTTTTAATGTCATACTCGGTGTTTACTCTCCCTAGTTTAGTGTCATCCGTGAATTTGGATACATTAAGTTCAATGTCCTCATCTGGATCGTTGATGTAGATTGTAAATAGTTGAGACCCAAGCACTGATCCTTGTGGCACTCCACTAGTCACATCCCACCAATCTGAGAAGGACCTGTTTATCCCTACTCTTTGTTTTCTTCCCGTTAGCCATTCTTCAATCCATGCTAATATATTCTCCTTAATTCCATGGGCCCTAATCTTGAGGATCAACCTTTCATGCAGAACCTTATCAAATGCCTTTTGGAAATCAAAATACACTACATCCACTGATTGCCCCTATCTAATCTACTTGATATGTTCTCAAAAAAATCTAAAAGATTTGTTAAGCATGACTTCCCTTTTGTGAAGCCATGTTGACTCTGTCTAATCATATTGTGGTCCTCTAAGTATCCCACTATGACATCCTAAATTAAGGGTTCTAGAATTTTCCCGACCACCGATGTCAGACTAACTGGTCTATAGTTCCCCATCTTTTCTCTCCCACACTTCTTAAATAGTGGTGTGACGTTTGCGATCTTCCAACCGTTCCAGAATCCAACGAATTTTGGAAGATCAGACACAAGGCCTCCACTATCTCATGAGCTTCCTCTTTTAAAACCCTCGGATGCAAACCATCAGGTCCAGGGGACTCGTCACTTTTTAATGCCAACAATTTCCCGAGCACCAATTCTTTGCTAATGTAAATTTCCCTAAGTTGCTCCTTGGTTCATCTCTATTTCTGGTAAACTTCTTGTGTCTTCTAACGTGAAGACAGAAGCAAAGTATTTATTTAGGGACTCTGCCATATCCTTATAGCCCATTATTATTCCTCCTGTGTCTGCCTGTAATGGACCCACATTTACTTTTGCAAGCCTATTCCTCTGAATGTATTTATAAAAACTCTTACAATCTGCCTTAATGTCCCTCGCTAGCTTGCCCTCATAATCCATTTTCTCAATCTTAATGAGCTTTTTGGTTTTCTTTTGTTTGTCCCTAAAACACTCCCAGTCCTCAGTTTGCTCCTCTTTTGGCAATTTTATAGGCCTTTTCTTTTAGTTTTATACTTTCTCTAACTGCTCTAGTTAGCCACGGATGAACTGCTTTCCCTGTGAGGGAATATGTGACCGCTGAGAATTTTGCACTACATCTTTAAACGTTTGCCACTGTTGGCCTATTGTCATATCCATTAATCTAATTCCCCAGTCTATTTTAGCTAAAAGGAGGGTCTTGAGATGAGTCCTGAAGGTGGCGATGAGGGGGCGAGGTGGCGGGACTGTGGGATGGAGTACCAGAGGGTAGGGGCAGAGTGGCAGAAGGCCCGATCGCCAATAGTAGGGCGAGCAAGGCAGGGGACATACAGCAGGCTGGAGCCCACTGAGCGGAGGGAGCGAGTAGGATGGTAAGGGATTAGGAGGTCACAGAAGTAGGGGGGAGCAAGACCATGGAGGGCTTTGAAGGTGAGAACCAGGATCTTGAATGTATCCCCTGTGAGACGGGAAGCCAGTGGAGCTGGGCAAGGATGGTGGTGATAGGGTTGTGAAGTTTACTGTGGGCGAGGACACAGGCTGCAGAGTTCTGGATGATATGCAGCCGACAGTGGGAGGTGTTGGGGAAGCCAACAAGCAGTGATTTTGCACAGTCGAGCTTTGATGTAATGAAAGCGTGTATCAGGGTTTCAGTGGCCTGCGGTGTGAGACAGTGGCTGAGCCGGGCAATGTTGTGGTGGTGCGGGACGGCAGAGCGGGTCATGGCACAGATGAGGGGCAGAAAGGACAGTTGAAGGTCAAACAAGATGCTAAGGTCCCGGAGTGGCTTCGCAAGGTGGGATGTGCAACCATGGATGGAGATGCTGTCAGCGCCTGAGGTGAGGGGGCGCTAATGGGATCCAATCAGGAGAGCTCGGTCTTGTTGTCGATAAGTTATAGAGAGACTTCATTCATATTAATTAGTTGGTTGCTCATGTCACATATCTTATTTAACAAGAGTATTGCTTATCATAACGGTCTACGGTGCTGTTAGTTGGTGCCAAACAAGACGATAGCCACACATTAGGGATTTCACCGTATTAAAGGCAGAAGTGTGCAGGTGGAATATGTTTGAAAGCCCCAATCATGGCTACAGGAGCTGAGGGATTAGTTACTGTTTCCATACTCAGGTCCGTTATTGCCCCTGGGATTCTCACAATGTATTTACACTTTATATTTGGGATCAGAAAGGGAGCTAATCCCACAAGTGGTTACTGTTTGATACACTATATATACAAACAGATTCAGCCCCACGTACAATATACAGCACAGTTTCATGCTGACAAGGGATCAGCAGCGGTTACCGAGAAGCTCTGTGATGTTCAGCCCATATGTGTGGCTGCTCATTGCTTGTTGTGTTTGGGGATCCCAGGGAAAGCATTGCAGGCTCCAAGGCAAGTTCAATCTATCGGAAATATCCAAAGATGGCGATATCGTTCTAGGAGGTATCTTCAATGTACACGTTGATCACTTTGAACAAATGAATACGTTCGTTACTGCTCCAGAAGAAACAAAATGCAAAAGGTGAGCTCAGTAATGTTAGGGACCATCGTATGATCAGAATTTAATAATAATAATGATCCTTGCATTTGATACAGCGCCTTATCACATCTTCGAGACGTCTCAAAGCGGTTCACAAGATATACTGTAAAGTGAATTGACTGCATATGTAGTGGACAAAAGGCGTCAGCCAATTGTGCACAGCAGTGTCCCACAAACAGTCGTGGATTGAAATGACCAAATTATTATCATTACTGATGTGTTGAAGTAATTATTACCCCCAGAAAAGCGATCTGCCAATCGACTGATGACCAGGTTCCTATTTAGTGCTGGTAAACAGAGGAGTGTGGGGTAAGGAAACTTGCCCAACGTTTTGCCCTGCTCGCGAGTTCAACCAACGTCACTCGCTTGCAAGTCAAGTGCTCTAACTGCTGAGCTGCAAGACTACAATTACAGCATTAATGTAAGTGGAGGTGATCAATCCTCCCAGGTCTATTTTAGTGAAAGTTATATATTTAATAATGTTGAACCCCATTCGCTTGTGAGTGATTTATTATTCAAAATAATTCTGAAGTGTTCAACACCATTTGTTGGCTTTAAAATAACACATTTATTCAGACTGCAAGCCAAAATAAGATTCAGCAAAGAATTACATGGACAGTTTTCCGTTTCCTATTTTCGTAAAAATTCACTGTCCTGATAGGCTTATTATCATGTTCTTATCAACTAAAACAAAAACTTGCATTACCAAGAAGCTCTGTGATGTATAGGCTCTATGTGGTGCTGCTCAGTGCCTGTTGTGTGTGGGAGTAACAGGGAAAGGATTTGAGGCTGGAACAGAAATTCAATCTATCCGAAATATCCATATTTCCGGCAGGGCAGTGCCTTGAACAGCTTAACGGTGACTTAGTGTGAGCCCTTTTGCTTGGGAGATGAGTTATTAAACCAAGACCTTGTCTGCTTGCTGAAGTGGGCATGAAAGATTTGCTGGGATTTTTGTAAAAGAGAAATGCTTTCAGACCTTCTTTATGTCACAGGCACTATCACAAACATTAGGTTTATTATTCCCGTCATGGAATGCATTTGGCCCAATGAAAAGTAACATTACTTACGTTTGCAACAGCGCCTTTCACCTCGAGAGGACATCTCAAGGTGCATCACTGGGTTTTCTATGCAATGCAGTGATTGTGGTCTCAAAGGCCCATTCTATTCAAAAAGCACCTTATTGAAGCTGTCATTCAATGTACAGGACTCTGATATAACTGCAACATTAATGGTGGGTTTCTCGTGCAGTTTCGATTTCAGAGCCTTCCGACTGGTGAATACGATGATGTTTGCAATAGAGGAAATAAACCAGAACCCGGCACTGCTTCCTGATATTACTCTGGGATATAAGATTTATGATGACTGCGGATCTTCCAATATTGCCACTAAAGTAGCACTGAGCCTTGTGAACGGTCAAGGAGCAACAGAGGATGACCATAACTGTGAAGGGCCTCCTAATGTCCCAGCTCTTGTTGGTGTTGCTGGATCCTCAGACTCCATAGCTGTTGCAAGGTCAATTGGTCCATTCAGAATCCCAATGGTACGTTATCATTTTCATATTGGTGCAAAGTCAGTTACTCTCTGAACAGAAAATAAATATTTAACATTTCAAAATCATTTAAACCTAAAACCAATATGAACATTGTAGATTGATTATATAATGATATTTTCATGTCTGTTATATGTTAAACACATGCAGTAATAAATGATAATCCTTCTCTTCTTCTTAATTTATCTTGTATATTTTGCGTCTCTAACACTCCACCCCTTCCCACCCTTCAAAAACAATGACAGCGTCTTACTTAAGGAAGCCTTAGTTGATGATTAACTATACTGGAATGCTTGAGATTGGAAACTGTAATGCTCATCAAACGTGTATAAAACAAAAATGTTTTTATTCAGATCCTAACTGTTTTCTGTCTAAATCTCTAATCAACTGAAGGTCAGTTACTTCTCCACGTGCGTCTGTCTCAGTGACAGAAACGAATATCCCACGTTTTACAGAACCATACCCAGTGACTACCATCAGTCCAAGGCTTTAGCTCAAATCATTAAGAAGTTTGGATGGACGTGGATTGGGACTATCAGAAGCAACAATGACTATGGTAACTTTGGAATGCAGGCATTTGTAGACATTGCGCAGGAACTTGGCATTTGCATTGCCTTCTCGGAATCATTTTATAGAACAGATCCATTTGAAAAGTTAAAAATAATTGTAAATATAATTAAGTTATCGACCACAAAAGTTGTGGTGGCTTTTGCTGGTGATACCGAAATGCAATTATTACTCAAAGAAGTAATACGACAAAACCTCACTGGAATACAGTGGGTGGGAACTGAAGCCTGGATAACAGCCCAACTTATTGCCCCAAATGAAAGTGCGAGATTTCTTATTGGAGCAATTGGCCCAGCGATTCCTTCAGCAGAAGTAAAGGGATTGCAGGAATTCCTTCTGAAAATTCATCCGTCTAAGTTTCCCGGAAATAGTTTAGTTCAGGAGTTTTGGGAAACTGCGTTCCAATGTAGTTTCTGGTCAGGAAACACAAGCCAAACAAACACAACATCCACATTGCAGCAATGCACCGGCAAAGAAGATGTAACAGAAATACACAATGGATATTCTGATGTAACTATGGATGGAATTTCCTACAACGTATACAAAGCGGTGTACGCTTTAGCTCATGCACTTCACAATCTGCTTTTGTGTGAGAGAGGAAAAGGACCATTTATGAACAACACCTGTGCACACACATCAAATTTTCAGCCATGGCAGGTAAGGAAAGATTCGTACATAAAACATATCTGTATTGGTAACCAATGCTCTGTGTATTTTTTTAAATATGTCAGCCTACTGACGATTGTTAAGTTACTAACCATCTCATAGAATAAACATTATCGTTCATGTAATGTGACGTTATGATTCCTCAATGCTGCCTTACATTTGATCATATTCTTTGATATTGTTGTACAGATTCTCCATTACCTACAGTCAGTAAATTTTACATCTAAATCCGGTGACAGAATTTATTTTGATGAAAACGGTGACCCTGTGGCCAAGTATGACTTGATAAACTGGCAAAAGAATTTGAAAGGCGTTGCTGAAACTCGTGTAATTGGCTTCTACGATGGTTCCGCATCTCCAAGCCGGGAGCTTACGGTGAATGAGGAGGCTATCGTGTGGAGCAATGGTCAAACTGAGGTGTTTATCTGTCTGCTTTAGAAAATAAACAATTACCATGAAGGAGAATGTCAAACAATTCTGAAGTAGGAACCCAATTGTTAGTTGATTGGTGGATCACTCTTCTGGTGGTAAAAATTCCTTCAAAAAAAAATAATTTGGTCACTCCATCCACGACTGTTTGTGGGACGCTGCTGCGCGCAATTGGCTGCTGCATTTTGCCCAGAAAACATGCAGTCAATTCACTTTACAGCATATTCTGTGAAGAGCTTTGAGACATCTCAAAGGCATGATAAGGCACTGTATCAATGCAAGGATTATTATTTTATGATTATAAAACATTAAAGCAAATTGTATTGATATCGTGCCCTTCACATACCATTGCGACTTTGAGTGTTTACAGTGGAGGCACTGAGTTGGGGGAATGAGGGAGGGGGGAGGTTACTGTCGGTGAGGAAGGTTCTGACATTCAACTTGAAGACCAACAAAGGGGGTGAGATTGAGGTGTGCATGGAGGCAGTTTCAGAGTTCAGGTGTAGAATTAAACAGCTTTGAGACAATACATCTTTATAATCAGTTCATTTGTGTTGTTTTGAAAACATGCATTGACTGACGTGACCATTACTGATTGAATCATCTGCAACATTTTATTTGACAAGTTTTATTTTTATTCTGAGATCCCACGTGCGGTTTGCAGTGAGAGCTGTATTCCTGGAACAAGAAAAGTTGCCAGAAAAGGCCAACCCGTGTGTTGCTTTGACTGTACAGAATGTGCTGAGGGAGAAATCAGCAACATCACAGGTGAGTGTGAAATTCCTCTTCCTATTTAATGCTTCTCTTTCAAAAACTCCCTTTAGTAATATTCATGCCATACTTACTGAATTATCGTACCTTTCCCAGATTCCACAGACTGCATTAAATGCCCTGAACAATATTGGCCCAATCAGCAGAGAGATCGTTGCCGACCAAAGGAAATAGAGTTCCTCTCCTTTACCGAAATGCTGGGAGGTGTATTGCTGACATTGGCTCTGGTGGGAGTGAGCACCACAATAAGTATTGCCATTGTCTTCTTCACACACAGAGACACTCCTATTGTTAAAGCCAACAATTCTGAGCTCAGCTATCTGCTTCTCTTTGCATTAACGCTGTGTTTTCTGTGCTCAGTGACTTTCATTGGCGAGCCCTCAGTCTGGGCTTGCATGTTGTGCCACACAGCATTCGCTATCGCTTTCGTTCTCTGTATTTCCTGTATTTTGATTAAAACAATCCTTGTGATTCTGGCGTTTAAGGCAACTCTTCCAAACAACAACATGGCCAAATTGTTCGGGCCTGCTCAGCAGCGTTGGAGTGTATTCCTCCTTACCTCTGTTCAGTGCCTGATATGTACTCTCTGGTTAACTATATCACACCCATTTCCCATGAGAAACACAGAATATTACAGAGAGATTATCATTCTGGAATGTGACCTGGGCTCTGTGAGCGCCTTTTATTCTATGGCGGGATATATTGCTTTCCTGGCCGGAGTGAGCTTTGTGCTGGCGTTTCTAGCTCGGAAATTACCTGATAACTTTAATGAGGCTCAATGTATAACCTTTAGCATGCTCATCTTTTGTGCTGTTTGGATCACTTTTATACCAGTTTACATCAGCTCTCCTGGGAAATACACCGTTGCTGTCGAAGTCTTTGCTATTTTAGCCTCGAGTTTTGGGTTATTGTTTTGTATTTTTGTTCCTAAATGTTACATTATTTTGATAAAACCTGAAATGAATACCAGAAAACACTTGATGGGCAAAGTACCTGTAAATAAATAATCACTGCACACTTCCGGTATACATTTGTGGGAAAACTAATGTAAACACTCTTATTTGTTGATTAAAGCAAAAAGAAAATAACCATTTAAATGTTTCATATATATACTCTCGTATATGGAATTGTTCATTGTAAAATTTCCAACATAATAAAATAATGGGAGTTTTGTCACTACACATAGAATCATAGAATTTTACAGCACAGAAGGAGTCCATTCGGCCCATCTTGTCTGTGCCGCCTCTTTGAGAAGAGCTTCCAAATCAATCCCACTCCCCCGATCTCTCCCCAAAGCTCTGCAAACTTGTCCTCCCCAAATAATTATCTGCTTCTCCCTTAAAAGTTGTTATCACATCAGCTTCCACTGCAGTTTCAGCCAATGCATTCCAGATCCCAACAACTCATTGTGTGAAAATATTTCTCCTCACCTCCCCTCTGTTTCGGCTTCTCATCCAGCCCCCGCACTCATGCAGCATTCCTCAGGGCCCCGACACGTAACTGTTCAACAGTTTGGGACATCCTCCCGACATGAAAGGCACTCTATAAATGTCATTTTGTTGTTGTTGTTTCTTTTAACACCTATTTTAAATTGGTGTCCTCGGGTTACCGACCCACCCGCCAGTGGGAATAGTTTCTTGTTCACCCTATCGAATCCGCTCATCATTTTGAAAACTTCTATTAAGTCGCCCCTTAACCTTCTCTGCTCCAAGGAGAATAATCCGAGCTTCTCGAGCCTCTCCTGATCACTGAAGTCCCTTATTCCTGGTACCATTCTGGTCAATCTCCTTCACAACCTCTCCAATGCCTTGACATCCTTCCTAAAGTGTGGGGCCCAGAACTGAACACAGTCTCTCGCTGAGGCCTAACCAGTGTTTTATATAAAGGTTCATCATAACTTCTTGACTTGGGTATTCTAAGCCCCTATTTATAAAGCCTAGTATTCCGGATGCTTTTTTAACAGCTTTATCTCCCAGTCCTGCCAGCTTCAAAGATTTACCTATATGACCCCCAGGTCCCTCTGTTCCTTCACCCCTTTAAGATTGTACCATCAGCTTATATTGCCTCTCCTCATTCGTCCTCCAAAAATGCATCATTTGGCATTTTGGTGGAGTTGGGAGGGGGGGGGGATATGGAGGGCAGCCTTTGCACACTCCACTCGGCTGGAGGGACCAAGGCAGCCCCGCGTTCACGGGAAGAAGATGCATCATGTGTCCTCTCCCTCTCTTTGCCGTTTGATCCTTTTATGGGGAAACACCAACAGATGTACAATGCGCGATTTGTACACATTGACGGGAAACTCATCAGTAACAGAGCAAGCGCTCATGTGTGCAGTGCCAACTAATGTGTGTGCGTTGTATACATCCCATTAGGCGCATACATCGCATACATCCTCTTTACCTAATTCTGGAAAGTATTAGGGGCAGGAAACGAGGCGTGGTGACCACAGAGTGTACGTTGGGGTAACTGCTGGAGTCTAACCAGCTAAAATCTCATAGTTTAACATTGGTATTGCTCCCTGAAGATGCTCTCCCATCTACTTCCCGCACTCCGCTACTCCCACCGCCCTCCTTGCATTCTCTCTCTCCTGACTCCCATCAATGCCTTCCTCTGCTCTAGCTTGTGTATCCTCTGCCAGGTCCATCATGGATCTCGGCGATGGTTGTCCCAAAGCAGTCACCCCAACTGTTCCATTGCCCTCTGTCCCCGACACAGCAACCTTCCCCACCCCTTCTCTCATCCACATGCTTACCCTTCCAAAATTATCCCTGCCCCTCAGTCTAAAACCATCCGTATCCTCCCATGGAGCCCTTCTCCACTAGCTTACCCACTCGCATTTCTCTCCAAAGTGTCCAATTTCTCTTAAATAAAACCCTCAAGGTCCACAACCTCATCCTGGATGGCCACATTGCATTTTGGGGCTCAAAAAAACCTGGCTTTCCCCTGGCAACCCTGTCCCCCTAATGTAAGCCTTCCCGCACTTGGGCTACACCCTTCACCCCTACATCACACCGCCCAAACCAACGCAGCGATGGGGTGGTCCTCATCTCCCAAACTTCCCTCACTCTATCCCTCTATTCCTCCAGCTCCTTCCTCTTTTGAACACTTGACCTTGCACCATCCCTCCAACTCCTTCAAAGTCTCCCTCATTTATTATCCTCTCAAACCACCTAGTTCCTCCATCCCTGACATCGCTTTGCTCCTCTCATCCCTCTGCATCACAATCGGTGATTTCAACCTTCATCTAAATTCCCTTTGCCCTATCTCCTCTGACTTCATTGCCCTCCTCTCCACACTAAACCTCACCCTCCACATAAACTCCCTGATCCACAACCGTGGCCACGCCCTCAACCTCGTTATCACTCACAGACTTGACATTTCCGACCTGTCAATCACAGGCAAGGCCATCTCAGACTATTTCTTCCATCTCCCTGCACATCTCCCTCCCCTCCTCCAAGGTCTCCATCCCCTTTTTCCAACCTCCGCAAGTACCACCTCTCCCTCACGCAGGTCAAAATAGCCTTTTACTCCAAAAACATTTTGGAGGCCAAAAATAATCCATGAACCAAGCTGCCTCCATCGTGTCAAACATCAGAAATATCTGCTTGGCTACATCCACCTCCCCTACATCGCCTTCTGCAGCCCCAGACCATCTACACCATCCCTTCCCTCCTCCACAACCTCTACCACTGGAGTCCTATAGCTCAGTGGTTAGAGCACTCGCCTTGCAAGCGAGACACCTGGGTTCAATCCCAGGCAGGGCAAAACCTTGGGTAATTTCCTTACTCCACACACCTAATAATAATCCCTCCAAAACAAAACAATAATAAATTGATCATTTTCAATTCACGACTGTTTGTGGGACACTGCTGTACGCAATTGGCTGCCGCTTTTCGCCCACAAATATACGGTCAATTCACTTTACAGTCTATTCTGTGAAGCGCTTTGAGAGGTCGAGAAGATGTGAAAAGCGCAACATCAAATGCAAGGATTATTATTATTATTATTACCACTACCACACATCCCTCCTTTGCCCCGATTTCTCCTACCTCCTTCTCAACCACCATCTCCCAGATGAAACCCACCACCTGCTGCCTAAAAACCCTCCCCCAATCCAACTGCTGGTCACTCAACTCCCCCTCCTCTCCCCGCTGCTGGCTGACACATTCAACCAGTGGCTCTCAGGTTCTGTTCCTTTGCCCTATTCAACCCATGTCAGCACTCCCCTCTCTAAAAAAACCACCATTGATCCCTCCAACCTTACAAATTACTAACCTATTTCCAACCTGACCTTCCTTGCCAAAACTCTGGATGGCGTCATTGCTAACCAGCTTTGATCTCACCCCTCCCTCCATTCCCTCATCGAGCTCCTCCAGTCTTGTTTCTGCCCTGCCATAGAACAGAGACGCCGCTTGTCAAGGTCACAAATTACTTCCCCTCCAGGGCTCCCTCTGCATCCTCATCCTCCTGGACCTCTCAGGCATGTTCGACACAGTTGACCACAACATCCTCATCCACTGTCTCTCCTCCCTCATTCACCTCAATGGGACTGCACTAGCCTGAATCGAGTTCTCTTTAACATGCCGTCTTCACTTTATCTCCTCAATCGGTTTCTCCTCCTGCCTACGTCCAGTCACCTGTGGTGAACCCAGGGGCTCCATCCTTGGCCCTCTCCCCTTCCTCGTCTATAGTATCTCTCTTGGCGATGTCATCCACAGACATGGGGTAAACTTTCACATGTTTGCTGATGACACAAAAATCTACTTCTACTCCAGCTGAGACTCCAGGTCCATCGATGTTCTCTTGGTTTGTCTAGCGGACATCAGGGCCTGGCTGAACAAAATATTCATTGGCTTCTATCAACATCTTGTATTCTGCGGCTCTGATCTCTGCAACCTCCTTGTCGTATCTCTCAGACTAACCAAAATAGTGGCAAGCTTGATGTCAGTTCAACCGACAGTTGTCCTTCCTTCGCCACATCTAGTCCCTGAGCAGGACAGCCTTACTCTAGCTTCGCCACTTTGCCCGCTTCTCATTCTACCTTACCCCAGATGCAATCAAAATACTTGACCATACGTTCCTCACTTCCTGACTCAATTTCTCAAATGCCCTCTTGGCTGATCTCCTCAGCTCCACCATGCAAAGGATCTAGTTAATCCAAAACTCCACCGCCTGCATACTCACCTGTACAAAACTCCGTACCCCCATCACACCAGTCCTAGCCAGACTCCACTTGCTGCCTATCAACAAATGGATTGATTTCAAGATCCTCACAGTCGTTTCCTTTCCCACCTTCAGATCACAACTGAAGACCTTCCTACTTGTCCGTGCCTATGATCACCTCCCATTCCCCCCAGCTCCGCATTGTGCTTCGCCACTATCTAGCACTCTAGGACACTAACCAGCATGAGGGGCTCTATATAAATGCAAGTTGTTGTTGTTGGCAAGGTTTCCTGCTAATTGTCCAGTTGGGACCACCTACCAGTTAGGCTTTTGGATTACAAGGTTAAGAGAAGCTGAGTGGGGGATTTCCTTGCCCCAAGTGACTGCTCTGCCCTTCCAGGAGCTGCCGAAGAGCCAGGCTGGCTGTGCCCTGAAACTCAGGAGACCCACCGCAGAGTAGAGTAAACATAGACCTATATGGAGAGTTTCGTCCATGGAAGATTATGGCAGACACTATTCGTGAGGGTTACTATTGTGAAATGAGATTCAATATGCTTTGTGGTAGTGCTTTTCCATATTGTGAGAATTCTCTACAAAAAAAGCCAACTTCCTACCCAATTTTCTACCAGTTCACATTTTCATTTGCACGACTGACATTACATTCTTATTAACTATTTATTTTTCTAATTACTTATTTATACATTGTATATATTATACATATATATAGTTTATACTTTATATTGCACTGTATAGTTAAGACAACCAAATGAAAAGAATGGAACATGATACAAAAAATACATTACCCACAGATCAGCAAATGTTAAAGCAAAAATAGCACCAGTGA